AGAGAAAGAACGGCCCAAAATATAAGGGATTTCGTGAGGAACCGAGGTTTGATGTTGAAAAAGAAATCTTCTTAGAGTTCTTCGAGAGATCAGTGTCGCCTTCCATTAAAGGTTGTATCAGCGATTTCAGGCCCAAATATAAATGATCACATTCATCTAATTTTTCCTAACGATCCGCTAGCTGCCCGCTCCATAAGCATGCCGTCCAAAAACCGTGTCTCTGTAGGCAGCCTAGGCTCTGAGATCTGCACACAAAAGGTGGGGGTGTTGTGGTTTGAGATTTTGCGGTGATTGGTTGGAACACTGTTTATTTTGGTTTTGAGTGGTTGGTGAAACCCATTGTTTTTGTGTGCAGATCTCAGAGCCTAGGCTGCCTACAGAGACGCGGTTTTTGGACGGCATGCTTATGGAGCGGGCAGCTAGCGGATCGTTAGGAAAAATTAGATGAATGTGATCATTTATATTTGGGCCTGAAATCGCTGATACAACCTTTAATGTCTGTGGGTTTTGTTCTCTAAACTGTTGTTGGGCCAGAAGAGTGTTCAAGACATCCTTTTATTTACTTTTATTAAAACACTGTTTTGAAAGAAATGTACAAATACATGCATTTACTGGAAGGCAATTTAATTTGGTTTTATTTCCAGTGTGTTGCTGAGGTCATTTTGAGGCACACTCCCTCATGCACTTTAGTCCCATAATGGTTAGAGATGCACCGATTACAATTTTCTAGGCCGATTCCGATTTTTCCGAGTTTGACCTGCCGATACCGATTTTAGCTGATTCCGATTTCATTTTTTCTAACCACTTTACAGCACACACAAATATTTATTTTCTATTTTTTTATTTTTATAAAACACCATATACTTCTACCCAAACTGAATAATAAAAACAAGTTTAAATGGGTGAATTTTCTATAAATATTTTTGAGTCTTCTTCATTTTCTTTTCTGACATAGCCTACTCCAGTTCTTGTTAAAACACACTAGACATGCAAATTCTGTGCATTTTGGGCACTTTTTGTGTGAAATCATATTTATTTTGCCCATCAAAAAAAGTGTGCTTTCACTTTAATTGAGTGTGAGCAGCGCAGCAAAAATAGACTCTGTGCCGAAACCGCTTCACTGCTGCTCACTCGACGCTCCTGCTTGACGCTCTGCTCCCGCTCCCGGTGTGATGCATTCACTGATTAACATGCACGCCGAAAAAAATACACGCCTCTCACGCTTGCGGTGTGAAACGGACGTAATTCACGAGGTTTTCTACATGTGCGTTCCGTGTGCACGTGTGATGCTGATGTTAATCATGCGGCGCCCGAGTGCGTTTGACCGGTATAAAATCGGCATATGTCAGACTGACCGGCCGATCACGTGAAAATCGGCCAATTCCGGTCCCAAGCCGATCAATCTGTGCATCTCTAATAATGGCCTTATTAGATCTCAGTTGTTGAGCCTTTTTTTACCATTTGCAAAATAAAAATTGCCCTTTCAGTTTAATTTTGTTAGTTTTTATTGGCTGTCTAGTTGCATTTCTTCATCTAATTGCCCTTTAACTAGTCTTCTATGAAGTGTAAAACTTGCTGATCTTTGATCACTGAATTTTCTCCAACCAGGTTCATTTTGCACCACATGTGTATATGTTGGTTGATATAGCAACAGCACATTGTAGCACTATTTCCTTAGGTGTGCGTATTACTTTTACAGGTTTAGTGGCAGCAAAAAGATGCAGAATAATTTGTGAATTCACTCTTTAATGTAGAATAGTTGATTTGGTTTAGTATGGTTAACTCTAATACAGGTACTCCTGCTATGTGTGGAGTTAATAGTGATGTCCATTTAAACCCAGTTTGTCCTCATAATCAAGGGTTAGTTAGGTGTTTGTGTGTGTTTGAGAGTGTGTGAGTGAGGTCCAGTTAAACCCAGTTTGTCCTCATAATCAAGGGTTAGTCAGGTGTTTGTGTGTGTTTGTGAGGTCCAGTTAAACCCAAAATGTCCTCATAATCAAGGGTTAGTTAGGTGTTTGTGTGTGTTTGAGAGTGTGTGTGAGTGAGGTCCAGTTAAACCCAAAATGTCCTCATAATCAAGGGTTAGTTAGGTGTTTGTGTGTGTTTGAGAGTGTGTGAGTGAGGTCCAGTTAAACCCAAAATGTCCTCATAATCAAGGGTTAGTTAGGTGTTTGTGTGTGTTTGAGAGTGTGTGTGAGTGAGGTCCAGTTAAACCCAAAATGTCCCCATAATCAAGGGTTAGTTAGGGTTGTGTGTGTGTGTGTGTGAGTGAGGTCCAGTTAAACCCAAAATGTCCTCATAATCAAGGGTTAGTTAGGTGTTTGTGTGTGTTTGAGAGTGTGTGTTTGAGTGAGGTCCAGTTAAACCCAAAATGTCCTCATAATCCAGGGTTAGTTAGGTGTTTGTGTGTGTTTGAGAGTGTGTGTGAGTGAGGTCCAGTTAAACCCAAAATGTCCTCATAATCCAGGGTTAGTTAGGTGTTTGTGTGTGTTTGAGAGTGTGTGTGAGTGAGGTCCAGTTAAACCCAAAATGTCCTCATAATCCAGGGTTAGTTAGGTGTTTGTGTGTGTTTGAGAGTGTGTGTGAGTGAGGTCCAGTTAAACCCAAAATGTCCTCATAATCCAGGGTTAGTTAGGTGTTTGTGTGTGTTTGAGAGTGTGTGTTTGAGTGAGGTCCAGTTAAACCCAAAATGTCCTCATAATCCAGGGTTAGTTAGGTGTTTGTGTTTGTTTGAGAGTGTGTGTGAGTGAGGTCCAGTTAAACCCAAAATGTCCCCATAATCAAGGGTTAGTTAGGGTTGTGTGTGTTTGAGAGTGTGTGTGAGTGAGGTCCAGTTAAACCCAAAATGTCCCCATAATCAAGGGTTAGTTAGGGTTGTGTGTGTGTATGCATGATTCATATGGTTACTGATGTCTTGAACAATCTTCTCTTTTTACATTAAAGGTGCCCTTGAATGTTTTTTATTATTATTTTATAATGTTTCCTGGGTTACCCTTATAATGTTAGTATGTTTTTTAGATAAAAAATATTCATAATTTAGAAATAAATGGCATTTTTCCTAGCCTGCTTTTAGCCTCTGATT